AGAATTATTCTATTTCATCCTCACTGGTGTTAGTGGTTGATGCATAAATTTGAATAATAGTGGTATTAATTGAACTTCCCTGTAGGCACATGGATATTATCCTATCACATGCAGCGTTGTACCTCATGACTGATCTGTATATGTTCTTTTTGATGATGAATGCAACACCATTCCTTTTCAATTTGTCATTCCCTGCATAGTAAACCATGTGGTTGTCAGATTCAACATGGCCAATACCAGTCCATTTCAGCTCACTAATGCCTAAGATGTCGATGTTGATGCACTCCATTTCAGTTTTGACAACTTCCAAGTTTCCCAGATTCATACTTCGTACATTCCATGTTTCGATTTTCAATGGATGTTTACAGCTGTTTCCTTCATTTTGAGTTGTGCCCCATCAACAAATGAAGGTTCTGTGAGCTTACTCCCACAAGCTGAACTCCATTTACGTCATCATGGTCAACTCTGCTTTGAGGAGGCAGCTCTTCCCCAGTCTCATTTTGAGTGCCTTCCAACCTGAAGGGCTGTTTTCTGGCACTGTTTCTCTACTATTCATAAGGTTTTCAGTGACTAATGATTCGGAACTAGTTCATCACTCTTTCTTCCTAGTCTGTCTTTGTCTGGAAGGTCATCTGAAACCTGTCCACCATGAGTGACCCTGCTGGTTATTTATAATACTGGTGGCAGAGCCCTCAGAATCACAGCAACTCAAGCTACCACAGCATGACACACCGACAAGTGATGACTGTTTGGCTTTATGTTGAAACGGTCACTTTAATGGATGCATCCCTTCAATTGGTTGGCTGCTCCTAGCCCCTTATCATAGAGCTAATTATGCTGGTAGCAGGTTTCATCACCATGGGAATAAGAACATCCCAACTGCTAAACCTCTGGAAATCCTGGCTTAGTCAATATGATACAAAACCTTAACCATTACAGAGGGCAAGAGCACATATTCCTGGTAGAACTAACTGGTATATGTATACCATGTTCATTAGCTGAAAGTCCTAGAAAGTAAGAAGGAATGATGAGGAACATTTAGACAAGCCAGCATTTGTATACCATGTTTGTTAGCTGAAAGTCCTAGAAAATAAAAAGGAATGATAAGGAACATTTAAGATGCATAGGAAAGAAAGGGAGAGAAAAAATTCTATAAAAAATAAGGAAAAGGAATAAATGAAGGAACAAAAACTAAGTAGAAAATGGGAAAACAAGAGAAGGGAAGCCATATAAACAAAGATAGGTAGAAGCTGAAACTGGGAGGGTTAATTACCTAGTTGAGTGTCACTGAGTCAACTCATGGTGACCCTGTATAGCATTTCTCCAGTAAATCTTTACTGGAGCAGAAAGAAAGCCTTGTCTTTCTCCCAAGGAGCAGTAGGTGGAGTTTAACTGCTGACCTTTCAGTTTGCAGCCCAACACTGAACCCGCTACTACATAAGGGCTCCCAAATTGGAAGACAGAGGAAAGAATCAGACTTTACAGCCAGAATGAGGAAATCATGAGCTGAACCATTCTTGAAAGTGTGGTCTAGCATTCTACTAGGATTTTTATGTGCCACAAAGCAGGGTTTAGAGTGAAAATGATAAAAACAACAAAAAGTCTTACAGTCAAGTTCAAGTCATGCAAATTATTCAAATATGGGCAGACAGTTAACTTCTCTTTTTGTTGCTGACTAACTTGTATTGGTGTGGCACTGTAGGATTAGCGCTGAACTGTGAACCACATGTTCAAACCCCCCAGTTGCTCCTTGGAAATTCTATTACAGGATCACTGGACAGCACTTAACAACAACAATTATAGCAACTTCACAGGCTTGCTGTGAAAATCAACCTACGTGCCCTATGTAAAAAGAATAAGGAAATGTTAGTGAAATGAATGAAGTTATGGTAATTCAAATTATTGGTAATAGATATTCTTTTGTAAACTTGAACTTTTATATTGATTTGTGAGAATTACTGAGAAATCAAAAATAAATGTGATTCATCTATGGGTTATATCTACTCATCTCAGTTCCAAAGTCAGGGCTTTAATGGACCAACTTCTGGCCCTCTTCAATCTGCTGACAAACCTGGGTCTCAAAATGTGCCAGCCTAGCCTATAAAATTCTATTTCCGGCCACAAGTCTGAGAATAACCTCACTTTTCCTCAGAGATGTCAAATGTGGAAAGATATACTGTGCTGGAGGACAGCACTCACCTCAATGGGGCGAAGATAAGATCTATCACCTCCAGGTTCCAAAGGAGAATGCAACTGTCGAATGCAGAACCTATTTTTTTAACCATAATTCTGAAGATGTTGGCCTGGTTGCTCCTGGAACAAAATGTGGAGATGAAAAGGTAAGATGAAAAGTCCATTATTTTATTAAAACTTCTTATTTCAGCTACTTAAAAGCAAGTCCTGGTGTGGCGCTGTGGGTTAATGAGCCAGATGCAAAGCCATTTGAACTACAAGGTTGGTGGTTCAAGCTCACCAGCTGCTCCTCGGAAACCCTATACAGGGTCACTATGTGTTGACACCAACTTGACGGCATTTCACAACAATTGGCTCTAGAGGAGTCTATAGATAACAAAATAGGGGAGAAAATGACCATTTTAGCATAGTAATAAGTATGTTATCAATATTCATTTTGTTTAATCTTAGTTTCCCCAAAAGATATTTAATTGCTACGTTGTTGTTGTTAAGTGCCATCAGGTTGGTTCAGACCTATAGCGACTTTGTATAGAGTTTCCAAGGTGCTGCTGGTGAACTTGAGTCATGGACTTTGTGGTTCAAACCGACTTTGTAGTTCAGAGGATTAGCCCACAGTGCTACACTAGGATCCCAATATAGCAATTTAATTGTTATAAATGCACTTAATTAGTATTTTACAGAAGACATCTAATGAAATTAGATTTAATTTTGTTTCTAAGAAATGCAACACTGCATCATTATATATTCCATTTTTTAAAATTCATTACCATATTTAATGGCTATGTCAATATGTACTATATAGACAGTGAGTAAGGAAGACCATAGAAGAATTGATGCTTTTGAATTATGGTGTTGGAGGAGAACATTGAAAGTACCATGGGCTGCCAAAAGAACAAACAGATTTGTGTTGGAAGAAGTGCAGCCAGAGTGCTCTCTGGAGGCCAGGATGGCCAAACTTTGTCTCTCATACTTTGGACATATTGTCAGGAGGGAGCAGTCGCTGGAGAAGGATATCATGTTTACTAGGGTGGGTGGAGGGTCAGGGAAAAAGAGAAAGATCTCCAGCGAGATGGATTAGTAAAGTGGCAGTATCAATGGGCTCAAGCGTGGCAACTATAGTGAGGTTGGCCCAGGATTGGGCAGTGTTTCGTTCTGCCGTGCATAAGGTTGCTATGAGTCGGTACTAACTCGATGGCACCTAACAACAACTGTAGTTCCAACAACTGTTGTGTGCACAGAGGGGGTAGATATGAGTTTACCTGAGAAGTTTGTAAATTAAAATAAACAGGTCATTACAACTGAACAAAAATGCTTTCATAATGGCCATTGCATATTTGGAGTCCAGAGGGAGAATTGACATTTTTGCTTATTAAACATGGAATGATGTCTTAAATCACGTAACATTTCAACTTTGACTTGAACAAGATTTCTTTTTAAACACATAAAATGGCAAAAGACTTTTTATAATGAAACACCCACACCATATGCAAAGATAAAATGCATATGGAATACTTAGATAAATGTGACAATTCTAGTGTGACTGAGACATGGAGTCAAGGCTGAACATATACAATCAGAGCAGATTGGAAAGGGTTATAATGTCAAGAGGACACTTTTAGAATTTATACTGTAAATAACATCAAGGTTTATAAACAAAAGAATGTATAGACAGCATAATTATTTTGTGTTTAATTTATATGTATGTTGTTGTTGTTAAGTGTTGTTGAGTCTGTTCGACCCATAGTGACCCTGTATAGGGTTTCCAAAGAGCAGCTGGTGAAGCTTGAACCACTGACCTTACAGTTCAAACGGCTTTGCAGTCTGGCGTATATGTATATAAGGAGCTCTGGCAGCGTAGTAGTTACGAATCGGGCTGCGAGCCTTAAGGTCAGCAGTTAGAATATATCAGCTATTCCGCGGGAGAAAGATAAGGCTTTCTGCTCCCGTAAAGATTTACAGCCTCGGAAACCCTGTACAGGGTCGCTATGAGTCGGAACCGACTCCACGGCACTTAACAACAACAACATATATGTGTATATATATGGAGAGAGAGAAAACAAGCAAGTCCTTTTGCCATTGTAGAATAAGCACTGAACTACTAACCACAAGGTCAGCAGTTAAAACACACCAGCTGCTTCATGGTATAAAGATGAGGCTTTCCACTCCCATAAGGATTTACAGCCTTAGAAACACTATATAAAGTCGCTATGAGTCAGATTCAACTCAGTGCAGTTTGTATGTTTTGTGTGTATGTGTATATATATACAATGTTGTTATTGTTGAGTACATTAACCCACAGTGCCACTCTAGGACTCCATATACCTAATCTATACTACATATATACATGCATGTACACACACATTTATACATATATGTACATATACATAGTTACATATTTTGTTGTTTTTAAGTGTCATTGAATTGGTTCTGACCCATAGCAATCCTGTATAAGAGTTTCAAAGAGCAGCTGGTGAACTCGAACCACTGGACCTTGCAGTTCAAACTGACTTTGCAGTCTAGCACATTAACCTACAGTTCCTACCTGTATATACACACGGGAAAGTTATTTGAAATTGAATGGTTTTTCTCTGTGGTATGAAGTCCCTTCAATCCCTGTACCACAATACATAAACGTGAAAGTTATAGGAGCAACATTCATAAAATGTGATAGAGAAGTGGAATGGTCAATAAAAGCTCAGAAAAATAAAGATGTTCTAAGACACTAAATAGAGATTTAATAGTAATTTTGGATAAATAAGACAAAGTAGAGGGGGAAAAAAAAACACAACTTACAAAAAATATTCCTGAACTGAAGAATGTATTAAGAAAACAAAACAAAATGCCTCACTTAGTATGAGAAAAAATTCTAAGAACAAGATGAGCACTTAGACTTGCTCTCCTGTAATGAATATCAAGAACTTAAAAAATGAAAGTTCTATACGTTTAAAAAAAGGCAAACAATGTTTCCAACAAGAAATGTCAGAAGATAATGCAACAGTAGCTATAGAACTTTTTGGAATAGAAGTATTGGGACCATACCATAGGGCTTCAAAAACTTTGTAGAAAAATTCCATTATCTTTTCATTTCACTTTTGAACAAATTTTTAAACCCCTTTATACATACAACAAATTTGCTATTCAGATAGTAAGGAATAGGATGGCACTCCGACAATTGAGGGTTTAGAGAGTATACAGTGATGTATGCTGTTGAGTGCCATGGTGGCGCATTGGTTGAAGAACTCAGCTGCTGATAGTAGGTCAGGGGTTTGAACCTACCAACTACACAGCATAATGATGTGACAGTCAGCTTCCATAAGGATTTACAGCCTTGTAAACTCTATGGTGGTGGTGATGGTAGTGTGCTGCGGTGTAGGTTCTGACTCATAGTGACCCTGTATAGGGTTTCCGAGGCTGTAAATCTTTATGGGAACAAAAAGCCTCTTATTTCTCCTGAGGAACAGCTGGTAGTTTTGAACTGCTGACCTTGAGGTTAGCAGCCCAACTCATAACCAGGATGCTACCAGAGCTCTTTTGTAAACTCTTTGGGGTAGTCCTAAGGAGCTCTGGTAGCATAGTGGTTACAAATCGGGCTGTAAACCACCAGGTCAGCTGTTCGAAACTACCAGCTGTTCCACGGGAGAAAGATGAAGCTTTCTGCTCCCGTAAGGATTTACAGCCTCAGAAACCCTGTACAGGGTCGCTATGGGTCAGAACCGACTCGAAGGCACTTAACAACAACAACAACAACATGGGGTAGTCCTAATCTGTTCTACAGAGTCATTACAAATCAAAATTGGACTTATCAACAGTAGGTGTGTTGTTAGATGCTATCAAATAGATTTTTACTTATAGTGATGCCATGTGATGAAGTAAAACTGCCCCACAGTGTTTGTTTTCTAGGCTATTAGCTTTATGAGAACATATCACCAGTTTGTTTTTGTTTTGTTTTCTTTTGTTTTTATCGCCCAGAGTCATTTGCTAAGTTCTTACTACCAACTTTTGATTAGCAACTGAACACAGCCATTGTCCACCAGGAATCCTTACAGTAATGCATGTTGTTGTTAAGTGCTGTTGAGTTGATTCTGACCTATAGTGACCCTCTATAGGGTCTCCAAGGAGCAGCTAGTGAGCTTGAACCACCAACCTTGTGGCCCTGTTGTGGTGCTGTAGGATAAGCACTGGAGTGTTAACCAAAAGATCAGCAGTTTAAACTCAACAGCCCTCATTGGAAACCCTATGTTGTTTATTGTTAAGTGCCTTCAAGTTGGTTCCAACTGATAGCAACCTTGTATAGAATTTCCTAGGAGTGGCTGGTGAGCTTGAACCACCGACCTTGCAGCTCAAACTGACCTTATGGACCTTATGGACCAGTGAATTACCCTACCACTCCAGAACTCCTGCAAACCTTATATACAGGGTCACTATTAGTGGGAATCAACTCCATAGTTGCATTACACATAACAATAGCTGCATTGTTAATATGTTTATGATACAAATGTTAATAATATCTTGAATAATGAATAATTATATTATCACAAATATAAACTCTTAATTTATACTTGAACTAAGGAGAGTTCTTAGGCTGGGTTATCTAGAGAAACAAAACCAGTGAAACTTACATATGTATATATAAAAAGACTATTATATCAAGGAAATGGCTCACAGTTATAGAGATCCAGGTCAAATGACCAAAAATCAGCAGGTAAGACAGTATGCAGGCAGACAGGCAGGCAAGAAGAAAGACTGCTGATGACTGCCAGAATTAACAAGTAATAGGGCAGGACACTGGTTCAAGTCCAAAGACCTGGATGTTAGAAGACAAGCTAGATGCAAGATCGCAGCAGAAAGCAAGCAAGTTTTGCTTGAGTATCTAATATATTAGGAACAGACCACATCCACAAGGAAACTTCCTTTCAATTGATTGACTGTTCATAACAGATCTCATCATAGAGGCTATTACTTTATATTAGATCTAATTATAGGTATAGCTACATCTCAACTGACACACCGCAGAGAATCCTGGCCCACTCAAGTTGATATAAACCCTTAACCATCACAGAAAGAAAGGAAGTAAATATACTGGAGTTTTTATTTTCTACAAGCAGAAGTTAATAATGCTGATTTGTTCTTGAAAATGATATAATTAGGTGAGCTCAAATTTTTAAATTAAAGATAAGGTAAACTGAGTTAATCTTTAATAATTTGGATATATAGTTTTCAGATTATAAACAAGTAATTATAGACTAGAAGTGACATAATAAAAGATAAGCCTAAAATGATATGTTTAGGCTAACTATATAACATATTACAAGAAATATGAATAAATTAAAATCTTCATCTTTAAAATACTTTTAAAAATCTGAATTGGTGACAAAGAAGAATGTATATGCACTTAGTTAAATGAAATAGCAAAACTATACAACAAAAACCAACAATTAAATATTAAATAAATGCTCAAAGTTATGCCAAGTACCACCCCAAAGCAACAATTTTATTGATCAAGTTTATCAATAAAACAAAAACTTAAAACAAGTTACTAAATATAAAAAATCATTGTTATACCTAACAATCATTTGTGTATAACAATCATAGATCCTTAGCATATATCAAATCAAAAGGAGAATTTAATATAAATAATAGAAGCAATTGTTCAAATTGTGATTGTAGAATTTCTGAGAGATTAATATCAAAGTAATAAGGGTATACATCTATTGTCTTCTGTCAATTCTGACTCAACTTAATGATCCTGTGTAGAGTTTTCAAGGAGCGGCTGGTGAATTTGAACTGCTGACCTTGTGTTTCAACTCAATGGGTACAAAATGCCAACCTTTAGTCCACAGAAAAATTGTGTCATCCAGGGACTATAATTGGACTCCTGTTGTGGCACTGTAGGATCAGCACTGGACTGTGAACCAGGTCAGCAGTTCAACCCCACTAGATGCTCCTTGGAAACCCTATATGGAGTTACTGGAGTCGGAACGAACTCGATGGCAATTAACAACAACAACAAAAGGGGATATAATTAGGGCATATATATTTTAATAATTAATAAGATTATGTATAGCAATTTTTAAATGCCCATTTAAAAAAATAACTATCACACATTTATAGTGGATTTCTACTTCCATGGAAGATTGTACATATGGAATTTTATAAGACCAAGTCATTCTAATTCATACTGGTTACTTCATTTCTAGGTGTGCAACAATGGTGAATGTGTCAACATCAAAAGGGCCTACAATTCAACCAATTGCTCCTTTCAGTGCAATGAAAATGCTGTAAGATTGAACAGTTTCTTTAAAGTAATGTTTTGCCAATGATTTATATACATGGGACTTCATTCCTAGGCCTCTGTGTATATATATACATACACAAATGTGTATACGCATTAAAGTAAACTTATTTTTTAATCAAATAAACCATAGGGATTCATTTTTCCAAATGTCATTATTAAAATTGATCCACATAGCCAATTTAAGTATTACACAGATGCTGTCAGTATTACAAATACATGATTTGTTATAAAATTGCATTGGTATTCTATACACTCAGCAGCTTATATAGTTATGTATGAGATTTTAACCTAAACCTTGGCTCTATCATAAATCATTTATATATAAATTACAGCAATGTCAACCTTAGCCTGAAGCCCTTGAGAAAAACAACATAAAATGTGTTTGTTTCCTTGCTCCATTTATACTCTTCAATATTGGCAGTTATTAGCATTTTGATCCTATGGATAATTTATTTCCTAAACTGGATTAATCTATAACACATGAAGCTGTGCATGTGTCAGGCACTCTTTCAAGTATTATACACATATGCATATATTAAATCTTGAAATCTTAACAACCATAAGGATTGAGCACTACTTGCATTTTTACTTTAACTGATGGAGAAGCACAGACCCACAGTTATTGAGCAATTTGTAAATGAATTTGGCATTCAAATCCAGAAAGTCCAGTTCTAGGGTCTGCTCATGTAGGAATTTTCTTCATGCCATCACCAATTTCCTCATGTCTTCACTAAGCCTAGTCAAGTCTGTTCTTTGCTTATGATATGTCTGGTTCTAGTAGGGGATATATAT